ATCTGAACCGATATTCTCGAAACCTAACACACATCATTCTAGACTTAATTGAGTGCGCTATACTAAATTTCGTGCAAATCGAAAGATATATAGGGACTTTGGTACACCATTCACATTAAATCGGAGGAAAATATATATGGGAGTTATATCTAAATCTGAACCGATTTTCTCGGAACTGAACACATATCATTCTAGAATTAATATACGTTTATTGTACAGATGTATCCTAACAATTTCATGTCGTGTCAACAACCTATGCTAAATTTAATTTCAATCAAATTTATGGAAATCGATTTATAGCAAACTTGATACACGCGACTCATGCCGCATTGTCCAAATATATTCTCAATCAGACGCCCGTTCGAAATATATATCCTACGTTCTGCAAAATTTCATGTCAATCGGGCAAACAATAGTCTTGATTTAGATTAGGCAAGTTTACTTGCGGCAAGTCTTTGTTTGTAGGAGAGAGGGGCAAGGGGAATAGAAATGGAAAAAATTGCTCGTACCGACAATTTTCTGGCAATTCGTTTTGTGTATTTCGTATTTTTTGACATTTTATATTTATTTAAATGTGAAAAAACTATTTGAAACAAATAATTTTTTTTTTTTTTTTTTTGAAACCGGATTGCCTTGTATAGACGCATGAAGCAAGTTCAAAAGAGAACGATAAGAATTGCCGCAAGTAAACTCGCCTAATCTAAATCAAGACTTAGTAGTTTGGTACACCATTTACCTAAAATCGGACTAAATTATATATGTGGGACCTTTATCTAAATCTGAACCGATATTCTCGAAACCTAACACACATCATTCTAGACATAATTAAGTGCGCTATACAAAATTTCGTGCAAATCGAAAGATATATAGGGACTTTGGTACACCATTCACATTAAATCGGACGAAAATATATATGGGAGCTATATCTAAATCTGAACCGATTTTCTCGGAACTGAACACACATCATTCTGGAATTAATTTAGTACGCCGTGCCAAATTTCGTGAAAATCGAAGAATATATAGGGACGTTGGTGCACTATTTACATAAAATCGAAAGAAAATGTATATGTATCTAAATCTGAACCGATGTTCACGAAACTTAACATATGTAATTCTAGATTCAATTCAGTGCGCCATACCAAATTTCGTGCAAATCAAAAGATATATATGGACTTTGGTACATCATTTACATGAAATCGGGCGAAAAAATATATATGGGAGATATATCTAAATCTGAACCGATTTTTCCCCAATTTCAATAGGGTTCGTACTTCGGCCAAATAAGTGACCTATGCCAAATTTCAGCCAAATCGGATCATAAATGCGACCTGTATTTTGTTCACAAAAATACATGGACGGACGACATGCGTAAATCGACTCAAAAAGTGATTCTATGCGGCTTCCTCAAAGATCAAAATTAGACTTCTACGACAGTCAATATATATATATAGTCCTACGACAGACTATACTCATTAAGAGCAGGACGCACCATATATATATATATTGTGATTTGGTCCACATTCCTTCCCTCAAATTTGAAAAATTATAAATTTAATACAACAATTGTAACACATCGGCACTAGACAGTGATTCCGTAGGCCTATGCAAACCATAATCCAGTCGAGTGCGCTATAGCGAATGAATTTTTTTTATAGCAAGCACATTTTCAGATCCCTAAGTTTTGAGACATACTTTTCATACAATACTTTCCTCTTATAGCAAACTAAGTATATATAGAAATTTTCGTCTTGTTTGTAAGTTTTTTTTTCGGAATCTTGTAGACATTATTGTAATATTCCATTCTTTTTTTCATTTACAAATTAAATAAAATATTAATTAATTTAATTTAATTTGTATTGCATTGGTTATCACTTCGCGCATATACCCAGTGACCGATAATGATTATAAGTAGTAGCCGATCGATCGCCCGATTTACCCACATCATGTAATCAGACAATCAATACCAGAAGCAGCAAAACACGAGAACAAATCCAAAGTGCACAGATGAGGATCAGTACATTTCAGTCAATGCGGATTATTGAAAGTGAATGATTATTGACACACATCTACGTATATGTATATAGATTTTTAATTAAAAAATTATTAGTTTTTTATTTTTAATTCCAAATTATGTACTTGTTTACATTTTGATTTTTTCTTATCAATGGATTGATGTGAGTAAGAGTGCATGAAACAATTTGTTCACGAGCTAATCACGTTCCATGTCCACACGCACACACACACTTTTCGGCTGTCTGTCAGATGGGGTGTAACGCCGGTAATGTTACCTCGTTAACCTTATGTACGTACCTATATTTATATATTTAGCAAAACAATTTCCGCATAAATTTTTGTGTGCAACGCATTTTTATTTTCATTTTGGAATCAAAAAAAAAAAAAAAAAAACGTAATTCGTAATTCGTAAATACATTGGCACGTGATTACCTTGGGTGTTTTTGTTCTGCGAACACTACACTCGTATACGATTGTATCACACTGACAACGTTTATTTTCGATTTTGAATATTTAAATATGTTTTCTTTTTTGTTTGGTTTTTTAATGAATTAATGATAAAATTGAACTTTGCAAATTTGGTTGTAGGTAATATAGTCGTATGTAAGTGAATCGGAAGGGGAATGGTTGTGTCAAAATAACTGACAAATATTATATATTCTTAATATGAACAAAATAGGGACTTATTTGGTTTAATAGTGAAGGTTAGGTTCTTAATAAATTCTAAATATTTATAAATTTATATTTTATATGGTTGATCAAAGTCATGGCCGTTTTTTTTTTAATTTGGTTATAATTTCAAACATGAAAAATATATTCATAAATAATTTATGTTTGAAGTTATAATTTGCATAAAACCAGGCAATGTCCTTAAGAATGGCATATACAGTTTGTTCTTTTTTGTCGATTGAACAAAATATACAATTAAATCTGAACTTGGAGACATATAGTCCGACACAGTTGTAACTTCAATTTTAATTGTCGTTTTTATTAATAACCAATACAATTTATATGATATATGTATATTTATTGCATTTTTTTAATAAACAAAGAGCACTTGCTCTTGTCGAGAATTCTGCAATTTACATAAACAAGTAATTCGTGCAAATATGTAAAAATTCTGGTTTAATTGCCGGTAAATTGAGTAATTTGTATGTGTATAAAAATAATTTGAAATATATTTTCAAAAAATCGGGTATTCTAAACAGTGTAACGCGTGTGCGTAATTATAGCAGTTCATTTGACATAACACAAGTACGTGGTAAAATAAGGTGACTCAAACACTAAAGTAATGTAACGAAATACTGTCGCAAAGCCCTTCTTTCAGATAGTCGTTGAAAGTACAAGAATGGGGTTTGCACTATGAATTAATAACTTTTTTTGATGGTATAGAGTGTATACCAAGATGAGGTCAGAATATCGAACAATCGACTGAAGAATAATAAAGCAGCTGGTGCGGATGGACTGATCAGGAACATGCATCAATTGATTAGTACAATTTGGCTAGAGCAATGCATGCCCAATGATTGGAACTTCAGCATCATGTGTCCCGTGCATAAAAAAAAAGATGAGATAAGGCGATATGTGCCAACTATAGAGGAATAAGACTCCAATGCGGCTTCAGTCCTGGTAATCCACCACAGACCAGATTTTCACTCTACGCCAATTCCTGGAAAAGAGCCACAAAAAAGAACACATATACACCTTACACCTATTCGTCGATTATAAAGCCGCACTTGATCAAATTGAGAAGGAGTCGCCAAAGTGGGCCAGACAGTAAATGGCGAGAAGACCAAGCTGATTGTATCAATGCTCAAGACGTCCTGTATACTCGGACCAATTGTGGAACTTTAAAACTACGGCTTCGAGGTAGTCAACGATTTTATATACCTTGGTACCGCCACAAATAAACCGAATGACATCAGTTTTGAAATTCGGAGAAGGATAATGATGGCCAACAGATACTACTATGGTCTAAGTAAGCAGTTTAGAAATAAGGCCACATCCCGCCAGACCACAGTGACACTCTACAAAACGCTGATACTACCCGTGCTGGTATATGATCACAAGCATGGGCACTTGCGCAATCAGATGAGGCACCTCTTAGAGGGTTTGAGAGAAAAATGCTCTGAAAGATATATTGCCATTGAACGAACCATTGCTCCCAAAATGTGCCATATTTTCACAACTTTTGGCTATAATTTGACATTTTTTGTTTTCATTGCTTGCCAAAAAAGGTCGGTATCGGTCCAATTTTTACGATAACTCCCATGTAATGGTGTTCCCCATTATTCTGTATTTTGGGGAGATTTTTTAACCGATTTGGTTGTAATTTGATAATGTTCAAATCATTTATAACGATATATCGGTAATAACGACTGTATCCCAAGTTCTGTGAAAAATTCTGTCCTCTGACTGTTATCGTTTATAAGGACATATCGCCTATAGCGCCCAATTTCCCCGGTCCCTTGACCGTTGTTATAAGCGATTTCGACTATACTTTGAGCTCCCATTGGGTAGCAAATATCCCTACCAAAGTTATCGATACAGGTCTACTTCCAAGATAACCATACTACCCCCATTATTCGGCATTGACACATTCATATACCGAATTGGTGAAGGGTATAAAGTGTTCGGCCCGGTCGAGCATAACGACATTTTTACTTGATTTTTTCTAGTATTTTTTGACTCTTATCTTCTAATTTGGACATTTTTACTAGTTATTTAATGCTAGACCCATACTAATTGTGATAGATCAAGTCAAATATTTTTGAAATGTTGAATTTGAAAAGTACGATTTAAGTATATTTTCAAAAATATATTTTACATCCCTGATCTAAAATTACGCTGCAATCTCAAACATGTGTTCTAAATTTCATAAAAAAATAATAAATTCGTATAGGTGATAAACTTTCTGACATTTTGAAAATAACCGAAAAAATATACAAATAATAATTGTTAATAACAAAATATAGAATTCAAATTACCAGACAAATATTCCGCCGGTTCCAATACGTTCCAGCTCATTGGTGACAATATCTTTGTACGTATCTTCACTTATGATGATTTTGGATTTTTCACCTTGATCCTGAGTCATTTTGGATTTTTTTCTTTTGATGACCGTTGCTCTAGTTCAGAACTTTGTATTTTTCCACTATGTAATTACGTGCGGCGGAATGGAAATGGCACCACCTCCACCACCTTGGGGATAAGTGGTAATTCCTCAATTTATTTGTTGTGTAAAAAAACTACACAATAACAACAGCAACAACAACAAGTAGGACACACACACACACGCAATTTTCTTTTGTACTAAAAAGTTCTATTGTCGTCGTCACTTATTGCTTACAAAGTGTAATGGATGCAGCAGTCCAAGACAAGTAGTGGTGACCACTGACGTTTGTTTGACTGGCCGACTGACTGACTTGTCAGTGAGTGATATTTTGACTATATATTTTTTTATTTATTTTAACACACAAATAAAGTTTTGGAACTCACTCTTTGAACTGTTGATCGATCACAAACGAAAATATTCCAACAGTAGGGGGTAAATTTGGAATTAATAGACTTTCACTGGGTCGGTTGTTTGCATTCATTTGTTTGACGCTATGCAGTTGTGTTGCATTTCAAGAACATTGAGCAAGTGTGACATTAACATTCAAACACAAATAGAATAAGTTATTGAAAAAGAATTCAATTATTGTCTACTACTTTTTTATCACAGAGCACTTTCACTTTCCATTCCACTTTTATTTTCAATTCACAGCCAAGATGATTTTTTTTTAAACCCCAAAAAGGAAATTCTGTAATCCCTTCACACTTTGTTGTAATTTGGTTTAGTACACTTTAGAATTTTTCTGTTCTCTCCTTCTTTTTCGTCTAGTTTATTATTCTCTTCCTTCCTAAGGCATCAATTACAACTTCATTTAACTTTCCCTGTGCGTTTTATTTTCTATTTCTTTGGCGCTTTGAAGTTACGTCTTTAAGTCAGCTCAAATCCCGGTTTTCGAATGCGACAACCAACTTGTCGCGCTGAATGCGTTTTGCTTACTAACGACTCTAAGCATAGATCACTTCAAATTAAACGACAACACGACGACAAATGCCAAACACCATTGACTCGACTCAGTCCCAACGATCGGTCATTATTATGTTCGAATAGCACAGCACAAAATGTTGTGCGATGAACGAAGGAACGAACGAACTTAAGACGATCGACAGACAGCAAGTACTGCATCATGTGTGCGTTGTTGTTGTTGTTATTAATGCTTCTTTACACTATTGACAGGAAGTTGGCATACAGGAGAAAACAAATAAATCGCTTCAAATGATCTTCATAATAAAAATGGACAGAATATTGAAATGCAAGTCTAACGTTTTTAAAAAGGATAGAAAATCGTTTATACATTACGATAACAACATCAGAAAAAATCAACAAATTGTAATGATTGTATTTTATATAAGAAACTATATACAAGTAAAGGGTGACGTAGGGGAAGATAGATATCAAGCAACGGCCTGATTGGCTTTAACATGGCGAAGCCCAGGCTTATCTTGGTCCCTCTTTCATCTGAATTGTGGACACTGACCTCTCGTGGTGTCACCTGGGGTAACTATTTTCATCATCCATTGAAATAGTGAGCTGATATGTGCCACGAGTTCACCCACACTCGGAAAACCCCTCGTACTATGAAAAAGCAACGAAAAAGAAAACCCCCCAATGTTGACGACCCCCGAAAACGTATAAAGGACCACGATCTGCGAATCTGCACTTGGAATGAGCGCACGTTATGCAGAACAGGCGCAGTTTTCGCCTTGCCGGATGTACTCAAGAAATACAAAGCCGATATTATTGCCTTACAGGAAATGCGATGGAAAGGGACTGGCGTAAGTAAATCAGATGATTACGCCCTGTATTATAGCTACCATGAAACGAGACGTGTATTTGGCTGCGGATTTATGGTTAACGGGAGAATATATGACCTCGTCTCCAGATTCAAGAAGTTCTACATCAGTCCGACGGAAGACAAAGATGAACAGACCAACGACATTTTTACGAGCGCCTGGAAACTGCATAATGCCCTGGCCATGACATTAAAATTCTGCTAGGAGATTTTATTCGGAAGAGAAAATATTTTTGGTCCCACCGTCGGAAAATTCAGCCTCCATGAAGAAACATGGAAACTGCATAATGCCCTGGCCATGACATTAAAATTCTGCTAGGAGATTTTAATCGGAAGAGAAAATATTTTTGGTACCACCGTCGGAAAATTCAGCCTCCATGAAGAGGCATCTGATTAGATTGACCATGTTGTTATAGACGGAAGGCATTCGTCCAGTGTTTTAGACGTTGGATCGATACGAGGAGCGAATATCGATTCGGATCATTACATTGTGGCAGCCAAGGTTCGCACCCGTGAGCGTGAGCAAATCGAGATGTACAGAAGTTAGAATGAAGTCCGAAAATTTTACCAACGAGTAAAACACCAAACCAAAGGCGAACTATTAAGCTCGGATTATGGAACAACCGTTCTGTCACAAACCATCTAAGTAAGTAAGATCCATGATAACTGAATTTTCTCTCATTCTAATTGTAAATCATGTTTCAGACTTGGTATGCTTGAGACTTCTATTATTTTTCTCTAAAATTCTTCATAAGTTCTATAAAGGATTTAAATTCGGGGACTGAAAAAATTACATATTATATACCGGCGGCACTCATACAGCATTGCTTTCGTTGGCAAAAATGACAGATTTCCAAAGTGCAAAATCATTTTTTTCTCCATGGGGTTTATGCTTGGTTTTTTTCAGTACAACTCTACCATTACCCAAAAAAATTTCGAATTCTTTCTGAGTTACATTTCTTTTCCAGGTACTTATCTGCGATTTCAGCATGTTTAGATGCAATTAGCTTTGGATTATCGGCCACTTGCAGCGTTCGAAAATAAACATTATGGTACCGTTCCATAGTGTTCTGTACCCTACCAAGGTGGATAGGTACACTAAAATAACGTACTGTACCGGTACACAAACACTAAACATATTTTTAGCGTTACTGTTCCGGAGCACAACAAAAGTCGTAGTGTACCGGCAGTGCTACACTAAAAATCGTAGTGTACCGACTGCGGTACATTAAAAATCGTTGTGTTCCACCGCACTATAGGTCAAACCGACAATTTTTGTGGCCAAATAAAATAGAATACAATATTATATTTCAATTAGAAATGCTTTATTAATAGTCTGGAAGACTAACGGAACAATTTTTTTTAGAAATTAACCCATTAAGTTATTAATTATTAACCCTTTGGGGGCAAAAATCATTTAATAAGATTTTATAATATATACACTGCGTATCATAACTATAGACGCACCTTTAATTCAACTGGTATGTTAGTTGACAAATAAAATGGACCCATTAAGTTATTGTTCACAATAAAACAATCAAAAACACATTTTATCCAACAAAAATAATTAATTTATTCTTTATGGTTTCGCCGAATTCTGCACTTTCAAAATTGCTGGTGTTGCATAACTATAGACGCACTTTTACAAAATTAGAAAAAACTATTTTTAAAACTTAAATAAAATAAAATAACTTTTATAATTAATGGGTAGGGCCTCCCTTATTTTGAATAAGTTCAAAAATTTTATCCATCACACTGTTGATCAAAATTATTCGCAAGTCTTCGTCGATTGACCGCCATTCATCGAAAATCACTTCTTGGAGGTAAAATACAGTTTGGTATTGGAGGTTTTCTGCATTGACACGATGAGTCAAGATTCCACACATGTTCTCGATCGGATTCTGGTCGGAAATTTTAATACTTTTCGATTTTAACCATACTTGAGTATGGCGACTTTTATGAACTGGTGCGTTGTCCTGCTAAAAAACGAGTCCTTGATTGTTGCTGCTTTCCCAAAATTACAATATTTTGTCTTCCAAGACTTGAACGTACTCCAATGAATTCATCCGACAACATGGAAATGTCAAATAAAGCATTCCGTGGCTATAAAATGCTCCCAAGGCCATTAAGGAACCGCCACCGAAATATCGTATTAAGAAATAACGATATTTCGGTAACCGCCACCTTGGGAGCATTTTATAGCCACGGAATGCTTTATTTGACATTTCCATGTTGTCGGATGAATTCAATGGAGTACGTTCAAGTCTTGGATGACAAAATATTGCAATTTTGGGAAAGCAGCAACAATCAAGGACTCGTTATTTAGCAGGACAACGCACCAGTTCATAAAAGTCGCCATACTCAAGTATGGTTAAAATCGAAAAATATTAAAATTTCCGACCAGAATCCGATCGAGAACATGTGTGGAATCTTGACTCATCGTGTCTATGCAGAAAACCTCCAATACCAAACTGTATTTTACCTCCAAGAAGTGATTTACGATGAATGGCGGTCAATCGACGAAGACTTGCGAATAATTTCGATCAACAGTGTGATGGATAAAATTTTTGAACTTATTCAAAATAAGGGAGGCCCTACCCATTAATTATAAAAGTTGTTTTATTTTATTTAAGTTTTAAAAAATAGTTTTTTCTAATTTTGTAAAAGTGCGTCTATAGTTATGCAACACCAGCAATTTTGAAAGTGCAGAATTCGGCGAAACCATAAAGAATAAATTAATTATTTTTGTTGAATAATATGTGTTTTTGATCGTTTTATTGTGAACAATAACTTAATGGGTCCATTTTATTTGTCTACTAACATACCATTTGAATTAAAGGTGCGTCTATAGTTATGATACGCAGTGTATACAGTGGTGGTCACAGAATTAAAACATTTACTGTGGTAAACATTTTTTGATCAGCCATCGATTCGTTTGAAGTATTTTTGAAATTTTTTTAATTCAGAACACTTCGATATACTGCACTTAAGAGATTTAGTGTGAAAATGGAAAATTATTGCATGCAATTTTTCCATAAATAACGGTTTTTATGAAAATACGTCGACTTTGAAGTGGCCATATAATTAAAACATTGTGTAATATTTTACTTTACTTCATTTTTGGAAAATATTTTTAAAAAAGCTCTTTAATTTAGTTAAAATACGTAAACTAAGCACCGATAAAATCATTTAC